AAAATTAGATCTGCAAACTTTGAGTAATCTTAAAATGACTTTCTGACAGTTGTGTTGTACCATTGTAGAATTTAAGCATGCTAAACTATTTTCTTTAAGCTTGAGATGAAAGAGAACAAAGGAAAGAAAAAAATAAATACATTTTAACATCTTCTGCTTGAAAACAGAGTTAGTGTTTTATCTAGCCGTCTACCTCTGACCCTGCAAAGATCAGCAGCCTAGTTGTTATGCTATTTTAACAATACTAGATTTTGTCATGAATTTTCCTTCTTCCTCTTCCACTTGTGTAGGTGCGAGAAATCGCCTACAGGATTTATCTCTATCCCAACGCAGAGCTGATGGGGTGTTTGGAAGAGCTGCTGAAATGCAGATACAAACTGGCCACGCTGGTGGGCTACGAGTCCTTCGGACACAGAGCCCTAAAGGGAACGATGGCCAAAACCCCAGGTTACTACACCTCTCTGGGGTTTTTCTCACAGTCGGGACATTTTCATTATTCAGCACTGTCAATATTTTGTGCCTTTGAGAACTGTTCTCGGGAGGTTTACACGGTGCATTTTTGTTCTTATCCCTCTTTGCAGAGACAGTGATGAGCTTTCTTCAGCTGTTAACAGACAAGCTGTCAGACAGGTACAGTTTTCCATGTTTTTCATAATAGAAATCCACTGATCAGCTTTCAGTTTGGCAGGTTGAATCATCAGCACGAGCTGATTTATGTTTTTGTTGCCTTTGGTGTAAAGGCTTCATTAAATCGGTGCTTTCCCTCGAGGTTAACCATGAGTTATTAGGCTATTTAAGATGTTTCCCAAAGATCCACAATTACTGAAACGAGTGACCCTTTAATTTGTTTTGTCATACATGCGAATATGAGTTTGATCATTTGCACAATGATGCATTTTTAGAAAGCCTTCGTGTTCCTCTTTTTGTGTGGGATGTATTCTCTGTGTGCTTAGATTTCTTCAAACAGTCCAAAAATATGCAATTCAGGTGGACTGGGAGACTCTAAATTACCCACAGGTATGAATGTGAGCCTGTTAGCCTGGCAGCCTGTCCAGGGTGTTTCCCTGCCTTCAGCCAAATGCATGCTGGGATTGGCTCGGGCCCCCGTTGACCCTGAGTAGAGATAGGTGGGTAAAAAGCAGGAATGAACGCCTCGAGTCATCACGCTAATAACTCGTTTGGTGCTTCTCTTTCAGAACAGCAAAAGACTTTAAGATGATGAGAGGCATGAAGAAGAAACTCAGCCCTCGACATTCTGTGGGTGATTTTTATTTTTTTTAATGTGCAAGAATATTTTTGCCAACTACACAACATTACACTCACTGTTACACATTTCTCTCTATGCTGTTATGCCTTAAAGCAATTAATACTGATTACACAATATTATATTTTAACTCCTGTAAGTTGATTCTGATTTAGAGGTACGATGAGTTCTGTGTTTTCTGACAGGAGCTCATGCCCTGGGATCATCCATACCTCAGCGGTGTCTTGCGTGCTGAAAGGTGAGATTTAGCTTTTATGAAACATATTTTTCAGCTTGCTGTCACTTGATAGTCATTCACATGTTTGTAATTCCATATTGCTTCACAGCGGCAGCTCTTATTACCTCCCACTTCTTTATCAAGTGTCGCTTTTTACAAAAGGTGTTAGGAGAGACGCATGGGAGTAAACTTCAGGTCTGATTTTCAGTCTAATCGACCTCCTTTTTTTTTTTT